GAGAATATTTCTCCCCCCCCCCCCCCCCGAGCTTACTGCCATCGGGGCTTTGAGCCCCTGATTTTGCTGATGGGAAAAGAATAAATGTTTATTGTTCCTCCACTTTTTAATACCCGAGTCTAGATAGAGCCGTAGAGGAGGAGGATTGCCTTGAAACAAACAAACAAACAAACCCTAGGCTGGCAGATTGGGGTGGGTTTAAATATCCCCTGGCCCCTATCAACTCTCTCTCTAATTCTGGGGTGTTGCCTGGTGGCAGAGGTGCTGTCCTTCCTGTTGCTAAAGGAGGCAGGAGGCATTGTGAGCTCAGATCAGCTGAGTGAAAGCTTGGCTCACTGGTTGGGATGCCAGCCTGGGACTGGCGACTGCTGGATTCCATTCCTAGAGCCAGTGGCTTAAGTCTGTCCGTGCCTCAGTTTCCTGTCTGTAGAATTGAGGTAATAGCCCTGCCCTCCCTCACAGGGGTGCTGTGAGGCGAAACGCATTAAAGGAGGCCTTTAGAAACTGGGACCTCTCCACCTTCCTGATTGCCGTAGCTAGCAGAGCAGCAGCAGGGCTGCATGACCGTGGGCCCCTTTTGGGGCCTGTGTTCCCCATCTGAGGGGGCGGAGGCGGGGGGAAATAGTTCTCCTGGAGGTGGGGCTTTAATTCCAGGTCCTTGGTGCAAGAGTGCTAGGAAAGGAGGCTGATGCTGCAGTCATTGCTTGGGGGTTGGGGGTGCTGCCCAGTGCTGACCCTCATCTGTGGGGACAGCTGTGCTGGAGGGGGAAGGCTTGTCTGGGCATCGCTTTCCCTCCTGCCATATTGCCCGGCGCTCTCTTCTGTGTCCAAAGGGTTCGTCTCATCTGCCGCAGCAGCTGAAGTTCACGACCTCTGATTCCTGTGACCGGATTAAAGATGAATTCCAGCTCCTGCAAGCTCAGTACCACAGGTGAGCCTAGTGCACTGCGGTGCAACTAGCCGCAGCCTGCGGCTCTCCATGTCTACGGCCCACGGGGAGCTGGCGGGGATGCTATTCAGGGCCCATGCCAAAGTGAGTGTTGTCTTGGTGACGTCCCTCCTCCCAGCCTGCCGTAAGGGATGCTCTTCTCATCGGCTGCGTGCTGTCACTGCGATGCTCTCAGTAGCTAGCCAGAGATGGCGGCAGTAAACGATGCTTTCACAGGTGGGTCCCAGGGGCCTGTCACTTGCTCGCTTCTGCCATGAAGTTTTCAGGATTTTTTTGTTAAGGGCTCCTGGGGAGGGGACGGGATATTCAGAGGTTGACTTGCTAGATAGAGACATGGTGATAGACAGGAAGGAGGACCGGCGCAGTTTCTTGCAGCCTTATGTACTGCTGCAGTTGTCAGAGGATGACTCGTGTAGGAAACCGAACTGACCCTCACAGCTGATTCCCCCAAGGAAACAGACCCGAGCAATGTGCTTTGGAGGAAGATTCCTTCACAGCAGCCAGATTTGAAATGCGATGGAGAGCATGATTGCCTTGGCTAAAATGGCACCTAGTTGTGGGGGGAGGGGTGGGGGATGAGTCCTGCTGTGTTATAACCCTGACGATCATGAAAGCTGAAGGCTTTAAATTCCCCCCCTGAGCAGCAGTACTCCTGGTTTACCCTTTGCTCAGCTAGGACAATGAGGACTAGCCGATTGCACTGTGGCTGGGAGTTTGTAGTCTGTGCTGTGTTCTGTCTTGCCCACGTGAACCCATTGCAAACACTGCTGGGAAATGCTGAAATCTCAATGTGCATGTTTTCCAATAAACCTTTCTAGTGATCTTAAGATTTGGCTTTTATTGGAACAGAGCTTAAATCAACCTGAGGGTATCCTCTTTAATTATCTAATACACCATTGAGATCTCTTCATTTTGTGTCCTTATGCATATGACTTTGTGGCTGCTCGCTTGTTCTGCTCTGACTTTCCCATGTGCCTTGCGTCCCAGGCGGGGCTTCAGATGGAAAATAGGAGTGCAGGTTCATGCCAACAGGATTACAATGGAATCTGTGGCAGCCAGAAGTCACTATTCAGAAATGGCTGATTTCCCAGAACACCTCTGCCTTTAAGCGCTGCCATGTATTTCTGGCAATTGCATAAGGCATACATCTGCAGTGGACTGTAGATCTTTCAGAGGGACACATTTGCAAGATCTAATCGGATGAAAAAGAAACAGGTTCTGTGCAGTTAATGCTGCTCCTGGTTTGAAATGTAAAACCATGGCACATGCTTGCTGAAATTCTAGGTGTACAAACCGCCTGCATTCTTACATTTAAATACATCAAATAATAGAAGATGCTGCTTTAGTGGCTTTTTTTTTGTGTGTCTCATTATCAAGAAACTAGTCGGGAAATTCTCAGAGGGGGTAGCTATGTTAGTCTGTAATTTTAAAAACTAGTAGTCCTGTGGCACCTTAAGAGACCAACAAAAATATATAGTATGAGCTTTCGTGAGTAAAACCCACTTCATCAGATGAGCTGGAGTGGAAATAAAAGAAATATTGATATAGATCTATATATCAAAGTCCCTGTCAATTGTAGGACTGGTGCTAATGAGGCTAATTAAGAAGGCTGGAAGTGTCCCACTCTTAGCTTTTGATGTAAAAATGCAGTTGTTGAAGGCAAGGGGAATTGGCTTTATAATGCGACATTCAACCGCCGTGAAAGCTCATGATACTATGTTAGTCTCTAAGGTGTCACAGGACCACTCCTTTTTATTTTTACTTTCACACAATGCACCTAAAATCTTTCAGGAGAGTTTATATAATACTTCCCCACTAGGGGATGTAAAAGTTTAACTGGTTACCCACTAAGCATTAGCCTTACCGGCATGCTTTCCCAATAACCTTTTAAGTGGGCTGGACCTGGGGAGCAGCTGCCTGCCTGCGGTGGCCTGGCCAGCAGAAAGGACCTCAGCTGCGGTGGGCCTGGCTGGAGCAGTCCCCTGGTCGTGGTGCAGCAGGCCTGGTTGGGGGTCCCCCCAGGAAGGGCTGGGCTGGAGGAGCCCCCCTGCCCATAGCAGGTGGGCTAGCAAGGCCATAGTTATAGGGGGGCCCTGCCTGGAGCAGCCCTGGCTGTGGGACTCCAGCCCTCCACAGTTAACTGGTTAAACAATTAAAATTATATTGGTTAACTTTTTGAATAAGTATTTACATCCCTAGTCCCTACAGCCCACGTGACAATTACTGATAGGGTCTGGAAACTGGTCCATGCATCAGCCCTTCCTGACACACATGATTTGACTCCCTTAGTAAGGGCTGCAGGACCAGCTAGAGAAACTCTACTTCCTTCCAGTGTTCCTGTTCCAGATGAAAAATAAAGGCTTGGCCTGTGGGTAACGGAGTGTAAGATCCTCTCATCACTGGGCAATTGAATGCTGTTTGAGTATCTTTTAAAAATTATTAGTGTTGTGGTAGCATGTAGGAGCCCATTGTGTTCTCTTTGTACAGCGCCAGACACACGAACAGTCTGTATCCCAAAGCCTCTACAGCCCTACGTATAAGCTCTCTCTTCTGGTCGTATTTGGGGGTCCCATTGCACTAGGTTCTGTACAAACACACAGGGCACAGCTGTTCACGAGCTGAGAGCTCTAGCTGTTGTGATCTCTAGCTGAGCTCTCTGAACACCTGTCTGGTTTTGCTCTTTCAGCTTGAAGTTGGAATGTGACAAGCTGGCCAGTGAGAAATCAGAGATGCAGCGTCACTATGTCATGGTAAGACTCCGTTGCAATAGCAGAGGGTTTGGGGTGCAGGCGAAGGGGAAAGGACATGGTTAAACAGCCCGCTGGAAAGGGGTGTCGTTTTTAGGGCTGTAAAATCCCCTTTAATTGACTAACTGGTTAAACTTCGTGTTTCGGGGGAGTGGGAGCATTTCCCCACACTCCACCCACCTGCTTTGGCCAGGCTGGGGCAGCCCCTGCTTGGAGCAGCACCCCTCCACGGCAGGCCTCATGGGGTTGGAGCAGCTTCCTGCCTGAAGCAGCGAGGAGTCCTGTGGCACTTGATAGACTAACCGAAGTGTTGGAGCATAGACTTTTGTGGGCAAAGACCCACTTCGTCAGCTGCATGTAGTGGAAACTTCCAGAGGCAGCTATAAATGTGCAGGCCAGGATCAGGCTGGAGATGACGAGGTGGATCCAGTCAGGGAGGATGAGGCCCACTTCTAGTAGCTGATCTGGAGGTGGAAGGTTAACCTGTCACATCCCTGCTTGTTTGGTAAGCAACAGGCCGATGAACTCGGAAGCCGGCCCCTGGAGAAGCAGAGGCGAGTGTGCTGAGGAGTAGGAGTCCAAGGAGGGCTTCTGAGAGGACACCCGCTCAAGCAGTTTAGCTCAGGCCTGGGGTTTGATTCCTGGCTCTGCTACTGACCACGTGTGTCATCTTGACATCTCGGTGCCTCTGTAAAGTGGAATGGCACTGGCCGAACCTACCTGATGGAAGTAAGGAGGCTTTGACTTGCTAATGGCAGGGAAGGGCTGTGAGCGCCTTGGCTGGGAGCAGAGACAAGAAAATAGCGACGCTGGAAACGGCTGCCAAGCAGGGCTTTGTGATGCAAACGCCAGGCGATGCTGACTTGTAGCACAGCTGCAGGGTGCAAATTAGACCTTCATTGCCTTGCACAGTCATCGCCGCCGACGCAGAGTGGGCGGGAAACGCTGCCACATCCGCGTGGTGGGCGCTGGAGTGGGGCAGGCCAGTGGGGAGCTGGCTGCTAGATGCATGCTGTGCCATTTTAATTCAGTAAGGAAACCCTCTTCTGTTCCTCTCCCAGATGTGGTCAGCACTCAGCCCTCAGAGGTGCCTGTTTGCGGAGGATTTGCCATATGTGAGCTCCTGGGCACAGGTGGGCTTGGGGCCGGAAGTGCAGAGTCTGTGGCCGGGTTGAGCTGTCAGCGGCTGCCCGTCCTGGGATGGGGAGAAGTGGCAGGGATGAACACAGAGCTTCTGAGAAGAGTGAGGGATTTAAAAGCACAAATAAAAAGGGCAGCATCCCCATTCCTCCACCACAGGCCGTGGCTGCTCCCAGAAAGGGGGAGGTGGGCTGCCTGACTGAAATTCAGCTCCTTGCTGTGAGCCACAGCTGGTGTGTGGCAATGACGAGCAATAGAACAATGCGCGTACGGGGGCTCGCGGAGACGGGAGGGTGTCCCAGAGAGCTGGTTTATAGGGGTTTCTGGACAGGGATTAGGATCTTTCACTTTGGGTGCCAGCCCTGGTTCTCGCTGAGACAGGCTTTGAACCATTGTAAGAGCTGGTGGAGGAGAAGGGGGTTTGGGATGATGTGGAAATACCAGCAATTTTCACCTCCTTCCACTGGAGCTAGTTGTTGGGCCTGGGAAGGAGAGAATTCCTGTGTGTGTTAGGTAGTGTCCATCTGGGACCATCGCCCCATTGAGCCAGGTGCTATACAGGCAAGTCCCTGCCGCTCAAAAGCTGACAGTAAAATGATTACATTGAATCCCAGTTTGTCCCTGCAAACAGAGGTTGCCGTCTGCCTAGTGTAGCCAGCAGCCCGCTAGTGGGAAGCTAGCAGAAGGGTTTTATCTCTGAATTGGTTGGCTACCGGGCCTGCGGAAGTTTGAATTGCAGTTAGCGATGGACCCCTTCTCTGCCCAGCTTGAGAAAGGAAGAGGAGAAACCCCTTGCATGGGACCATGGCGGCTGCTGCTCTGAGCGACGCAGGAAGGGGATCCAAAGGGCACTACTCAGGGAACACGGGAACATTCCAGAGGCAATTCTGGCCTCATTGAGATGCCTGGGAGCTTTTCCCAATGGAACCAGGATTTCACCCCAAGTGTGCAGGAAGGGCTGTGACCATGAGCCAGCCTTTAATAGGGTGGGGAGAGAACTTCCTCCCATGACTGGTTCTCCTGGAGCTGCTGCTTGCACCTCTGAGACGGTCCAGGAACTCGCCAGTGCTGGTCTGCGTCCGTCCGGCTCCTTTGCAGCTTCGTTAGGAAAGCCGCTCGTGCAGCCCTTGCGTGGTGCGGGGAGTCTGAGTTGTTGCTGTTTCTCTTTCCTCTCCCCCTGCAGTATTACGAGATGTCCTACGGGCTCAATATCGAAATGCACAAACAGGTGAGACAGGGTTTTCTGCAGCTGCTAGGATGGGCGGGGGGAGTTATTTCCTTCTCCAGACCTTGCTCCCCTGCCTCTGCCGGCTTAATTTCCTTGTGGAAGCCATTGGAAAGCCGTGACGGTTCCCCTCTGGCGGGTATGATTTGAGCTCCTCTTGGGATTGATTTGTTTCCTCCTCCTCCTCCCCCTGCAGAGACACACGCCCCATTGCTGGTTGTTCATGAGTCCATAGAAGACCTTCATGGTTCTGCCAGATGGATTAGGGGCTGAATCCAGATGGAGAGGCGAGACTTGGGGGAGAACATTCTGCATCTCCTCTCAGATGTTAAGCTCCGGTGGAGGAGGTGTGGGGCCCGAACGAGCTGGGCATTTCCGTGGGCTCAGGGAGCAGCACCTAGACAGGGAAAGA